CAGCTCACAGCAACCTCCAACTCCTGGGCTCAAGTGATTCTTCTGCCTCTGCCTCCCAAGTAGCTGGAACTACAGGCACCCGCCACAAGGCTTGCCCAGCTATTTTTTGGTTGCAGCCGTTCATTGTTTGGCGGGCCCGGGCTGGATTCAAACCTGCCAACTCTTGAGCCACAGGCGCCAAGCCCAGGGTTGTTAATTTTAAAGAAATGTCTTGTTTTTAAAGAAATCAAAATTACTTTCATATTCCTATAAATGTTTACCTTTTCCATGGTAGTAAAAAATGGGCTTAATAAGAAGCATAATTCCAACATTCTATCACAAAACCATGTCTATCAAACACTATGAATCTTAAGTATAATACAGAGAAAAACTGAGGGCCAACCAATGAGGCAAAAATAAAAGGGTTTCAAGGTTTATTTATGAGATTCAGCATATCACATCCTTAGTTCTAAATCTCAAACTAACACAGCAGGAGAGAGAAACATACCCTTGAAAGCCAGTCTTCAGCTACTTTCTGAATCACAGATAACATTATTTTGTAACTGAATTTTGAAATAAACTGATCAAATGTATAGTTTTCATAGCAATTGTTGGTCAGACTATATTAAAGATGCAAAAAAGGCAAGTCAAATTCCACTTGTCAAGTTGGCCCCAAATTTTCAAGAAAGCCAAATTCTTAAGAAATAACTAAGCTCGGCTTGGCGCCTGTGGCTCAAGTGGCTAAGACGCCAGGCACATATACCTAAGGTAGCAGGTTCGAATCCAGCCCAGACCTGCCAAATAACAATGACGGCTTCAACCAAAAAATAGCCAGGCGTTGTGGCAGGCACCTGTGGTCCCAGTTACTTGGGAGGCTGTGGCAGGAGAATCATTTGAGCCCAGGACTTGGAGGTTGCTGTGAGCTATGATGTCACGGCACTCTACCCAGGGCGACAGCTTGAGGCTCTGTCTCAAAAAAAAAAAAATAAAAAGAAATAACTAAGCTTCCTACTCCGTTACTCTCACCTCACGCACATGACTGCAGCAGATATGCAGACACATCTCACCAAAGACAAAAGGTGCATTAGCTAAGCACCTTCAAACAAGCCCTGTTCTTCATACCTAGGCTACGGAAAATGAGCAGTATGTGAAAATGTCCAACACCGAGCAGAGATTATTACCTAGGGTTTTCTCTTTGTTCCTGTTGTACTCAGCATTTTGCCGACCATCAGGGGGGTCCGTTCGAGCTTCTCGCCCAGGAATTTCCTCTCTTGACTCTTGTGTGCAGTATGCTGTGCTCGCCAAATTCCTGTTCTTTGTTATAAAGTCACTGCCTTCATCCTCTTCCAAGGAATGCTTGTTACTTGTGCCACAATTTGAGTCTTGATGTTGAAGAATATCATTTGATTGAGAGTTACACAACATATCCGCTTTCACCCCTAGCCCACAAATTCCAGCTTCTTCCATTGTGCCAATTTCAAACTTGACGAAAGAGGAAGGAGAAAAAAAATGGAAGACATTAAATTGAATGTAATCAATGCTGATGACCAGAGGCACAAAGAGTGACAGCTTTTTTGTTTCTTAATAGTTTATAAAAATCAATGTAAATATGGTGGTTTCTAAGTTTCACTGAGAGATGACTTAAAGTTAAAACAAATTTACAACTAAGTATTACCAAAGGAGGCAAAATGTTCCATTCAATTCTAAATCTAAACTTTACTTCCCTAGAAAAATTCACCATTTAAAATAATTAGCACTTTAAGAGAAGCTAGATTGTTAACTGTTCTGGTCTTATCCTCAAGGCAACAGGACAGAAAGATAGCTACCTAGATATCCACCAAAAAGCCACCCTCTCCCAATGTCCTGTAGAGCTGGCGCTATGAGACTAGTGCCCAGCCAGGGACTATGCTTCCCAGCCCCCGTACATCTAAGTGGGACTCCCATGTGAAGTCCCACCAATTGAGTGTGAGCAGAGGCTATGATTGTTCCTTCTGCCACAAGACTTTTGTTCTTAGCACAATTGTTTCTCCACCATCTGTCTCCAACTCTGGTTGCATACAGAGGTCTGCAAGACCCTAAGAGATGGCAGAGCCATAGGATAAAAGTAGCCTGTACCCTTAAATCCCACGTACATACAGGAAAGCCACCTCACCTATAAAGATAACCCACACTTGACTATTAGGTGAACAAGAAATACACTTTTCTCACGTTAAACCACAGAAATCTCGGGCCTGATACTTTAAGCAGCTCTCCCTGCCCTAACAGGTAAATACAGATAATACGCATGGTAAAGATACCTTTATTCCAATATTTTATTCTTGCATCAGTAATTTTACCTTACTCTCTTACTGTTAACCTTATTTATTCATTGGGCTTTCCCCCTCTTTTTTTTTCCGGCCAGTGTCGGTTTTCAACCCACCACTTCCAGGGACCAGCACCCTACTCCTTTGAGCCACAGGAGCCGCCCAGGGCTTTTTCCCCCTGTTAACGTTACCTGGTCATATGATGTGGCAAAAGTTTAAACTCTACACATTTCCTCTCTGTATGAAAGAGAGCCTCTTCCTTTTCTGAATAACACAATTGAGAGGGAGGTGTCTAATAGCCTCCTCCTATTGCAAGTGGACAAAAACTACTTTCAAAAATTAATGGAGCAGAGATTTATTATTTTAAGTTACAAGATCATCTAGGTGAAAAACTAAAAATACATCTAAAGTAAAGATACTAAAAAACTATCTAAAGTAGGAGGGGATGGAGAGGTTAAGGAATTTAAAACCTTATATCTTTTAGAGTCTAATGTTAATAAATCAAGTATTGTGCTTTTGAAAGAACTAGCACAGCCACTATGAAAAACTCTTTGGCAATACGGATACCTTCTAACCCAGTTAACTCTACTCCTAGGATTTCACCCAAGTGTGTACATGTGTGCATCCAAAGGCCAAGAATGTTTAAAGCAGGACTATTCATAATAGTCCCAAAATGGAATCAACCCAAATTTCTATCAACAGAAGAAAGGATAAATTGTAGTATGTTGGCAAGGCATGGTGGCTCACAACTGTTACCCCAGCACACTGGGAAGCAGGGAGTTGAGACCAGCCTGGGTAACAGTGAGACCCTGTCTCTACTGGGGAGGGGGGTGGAAAGAAAAAAAAAAAAATAGCCAGGCATGGTGGTATGAGCCTACAGTCCCTCTCAGGAGGTTAAGGCGGGAGGACTGCATGAGCTCAGGAATTTAAAGGTGCAGTGAGCTACAATCATGCCACTGCACTCCAGCCTAAGCAACAGAGCAATAATACCCTTGTCTCAAAAAAAAAAAAAAAAATTATAATACGTTCATACTATCCAGCAATGAGACTCACAGACCTAATGTGAGGAAGGTACCAGAATACCTACTGTAGGAAACCATTTATAAATGAAGTTCAAAAAGAAGCCAAGCTAATTAATGATGCTAGAAATCGGGATAGTGGTTACCATCAGTAGGGCCTTCTAGGGCAGCAGTTTCCAAACTTTCTGGCACCAGGGATTGGTTTCATGAAAGTGGGGTGGGGTTGGGGAGGTGGCACAGGGTGGGGGATAGTTTCAAGATGATTCAAGTGCATTATATGTATTGTGCACTTCATTTTTATTATTACATTGTAATATACAATGAAATAATTATACAACTCACCATAATGCAGAATCAGTGGGAGCCCTGGGCTTGTTTTCCTGTAACTAGACAGTCCCAGAGCTGGCATCACCACCTCAGCCCCACAACAGATCACAGGTGCTACACGCTCATAAGGAGTGCACAGTCTAGATCCCTTGCACGCGCAGTTAACAGAAGGATTTGGCTCCTGTGAGACTCTAATGCTGCCACTGATCTGACAAGACGTGAAGGTCAGGAATGAGCAACGGGAAGCAGCTATCAATACAGAAGAAGCTTCCCTTGCTTACCTGCCACTCATCTCCTACTGTGCGGCCTAGTTCCTAATAGGCCACAGACTGGTACCAATCTGTGACCCCAGCGGTTGGGGACTGCAGTTCTAGGGTGCTTGGCAGTATTCTATTTCTTGATCTAGATGGAGGGGAAGTAAACACAGATGTTCACTTTGTGGAAATTCAATAGGCATAAACATTTATGATTTGTATACTTTTCTAGATGTGTCTTTTATTTTGATAAAAGTTTTAGTTCAGGGCAGCTCCTTGTGGCTCAAGGAGGAGGGCGCCGGCCCCATATACCAGAGGTGGCAGGTTCAAACCCAGCCTCAGCCAAAAACTCAAAAAAAAAAAAAAAAAGTTTTAGTTCAATTTATATATTGTTGGGCAGCACCTGTGGCTCAGTGAGTAGGGTGCTGACCCCATATACCAAGGGTGGCAGGGTCGAATCTGGCCCCGGCCAAACTGCAACAAAAAATACTCAGGCATTGTAGCAGGTGCCTGTAGTCCCAGCTACTCGGGAGGCTGAGGCAAGAGAATCACCTAAGCCCAAGAGCTGGAGGTTACTGTGAGCCGTGATGCCACTACACTCTACCAAGGGTGACAAAGTGACACTCTGTCTCTAAAAAAAAAAATTTTAGGCATTAAGAGTTGCCAAGAGCCAAATATTTTCTTCTAAAGAGGGAGATTAAAGATTTGCTGCTTTTTAACGACACTTTTCAAATAATATACATGTTAACACCTTGATTTCTTTTTTTTTATTAAATCATAGCTGTGTACATTAATGCAGTCAAAAAATATGGAACGCTTCAAGAATTTGTGTGTCATCCTTACACAGGGGCCATGCTAATCTTCTCTGTATCATTCCAATTTTATTTTATTTTTTTTTTTGGCTTAAACAACCGAAGTTTATTTTCTCTCTTTTTTTTTTTTTTATCATTCCAATTCTAGTATATGTACTGCCAAAGCAAGCACAACACCTTGATTTTCTAAAAAAAAAAAAAATGCATTAAAGGGAAATGGGTTGTCTATTTCAGAGTTATGGTTTGATGCCACACTCCTAAGCCTAATTCTGACCAAAAAAATTACAAAGGGGCCAGGCACGGTGGTTCATGCCTATAATCCTAGCACTCTGGAAGGCCAAGGCAGGTGGACTGCTTAAGCTCACAGGTTCAAGACCAGCCTGAGCGATAGTGACACCTTAAAAATAGCTGGGCATTGTGGCAAGTGCCTATAGTCCCAGCTACTTGGGAGGCTGAGGCTAGAGAATCGCTTGAGCCCAAGAGTTTGAAGTTGTTGTGAGCTATGATGGCACAGCACTCTACCAAGGGTGACAAAGTAAGACTTTATCTCAAAAAAAAATTAAATTAAAAAAGTAAAAAAAGAAAGTATACAGTTCAGTTCACTGCTTTTTAGTGCATTCAGAGTTGTGCAACCATTACCGCAGTCAATTTTAGAACAATTTCTTCACCTTACAACAAAACCCCATGTTCTTTAGCTATCAACCTTTAACCCCACCTCCACCCCACCCCCACCAGAATACCCAGTACCAGGTGACTAATCTACTTTCTTTCTCCACAGGCCTGGCTATCCTAAACATTTCATATAACTGGAATCATACAATATATGGCTTTTTAAGTCTGACTTCTTTCATTTAGCATGTTTTCAAGGTCCCTCTATGTTGGAATATGAATCAGTATTTCCTTCCTTTTTTTTTTTGGCTGAATGATATACACTGTATGGATAGACCACATTTTATTTACACACTCATCAGTTCATGATAAGGCTCTACTGATTTTGTAAAGCCAAAGTAGGTCTTTCATTAGCGAATATGAAAAATACCCCAGTATACTACATCAAAATTAGCTGCACAGGAGAGAGGGGAAATATAATACTGTCTTGCTTCTAATGATGGAATAATAATAGTGGTACTTTCTACAACTTGTGTATTAATACTTAGGATCTTTCCATTAGCTTATTCTACCTCTGAACTCCTGCCATACATATTACATAACCAATTATTTGGTATATTATCTTCCTAGGAAACAAAAGCTTATGCACATAACATATTCAACTGCCAACTGATGGAGAACCCGGTGGAGGGGGATGCAAAAATGGCTGCCAAAAACAAGCCACAGAGAATTCTGTATCATGTGCCCAATATACTTCCCTACTTTATCTTCTCTCTCTCTGCTAGCCACTCTTGATGCCTTTCCTGGAGTACAATCTCTTGTATAAATAATAGCAGTAAAAGGTAACATTTACACGACAAATACCTCATCCAGGTATTTTTAATCCTCACAACAATGTCACTAGGTAGGCACCATCATGATCTCCTTTACAGATGAGCAAACTATGCCCTGTAGAGTATACTGCCTAAGGTCACAGTTAGTAAACTGCAGAGCAAGATTTGAACCCTGGCAGTCTAGCTTCTGGGTCAATGCTCTTAAATCACAATATACTACTTTGTAACTATCCTCTGTATCCTCTACTACTGTACAAACATCCCATCCTGGCCTAGTCATCTTACAGAAGTCTATTTAATAATGAGAGATGATCCCAGAACAAATTATAAAACAGTATGCACCATATGTTGTATCCACACACTATGTATGTATACGGATGCTCCTCAACTTCTAGAGGGGTTACATCCCAATAAACCCACCCTAGGGTAAAAAGCAGTCAGAGACCACCTGTGTGTATATATAGACACACACACAGAGAAGTGTTGGAAGGATATCTAAATATTAATAATGGTTATTTTTGAGGCCGCACACTGGCAGCTCACACCTGTGATCCTAGCACTCTGAGAGGCCAAGATGGGTAGATCACTTGAGCTCAGGAGTTCAAGACCAATCTGAACAAGAACAAGACTCTGTCTCTACTAAAAATAGAAATACTAACTGGGCATCATGTTGGGTGCCTGTAGTCCTAGCTGATGCTGGAGGATCACTGGAGCCCAAAAGTTTGAATTTGCTTTAAGCTATGATTCCACAGCACTCTACTCAGAGCAATAGAGACTCTGTCTCAAAAATAAATAAATAAAGGATATTTTTTAATGGTATAATTACAGGCAGTGCTTCTTTTTGCTTCACTGTATTTTCCTGTTTTTCTATAATGAATATTCATTACTCGGATAATTCAAAATATTTTTAAAAAACTACTTGTACTAAATACTTTGAAAGCATCACAGAACATATTAAATATATATTTTATTAAAAATTCTAAGCCAAGGGCGGCATCCATACTCAGCGGGTAGGGTTGAGGCATCCATACACACTGAGGCTGGCGGGTTTAAACCTGGCCAGGGCCAGCTAAAACAACAATGACAACTCCAACAAAAAAACAGCCAGGCCTTGTGGCAGGAGCCTATAGTCCCAGCTACTTGGGAGGCTGAGGCAAGAGAATTGCTTAAGCCTAAGAGTTTGAGTTTGCTGTGAGCTGTGACGCCATGGCACTCTACCCAGAGTGACATAGTGAGACTCTGTCTCAAAAAAAAAGAAATTCTAAGCCAAGTCATAGGTAAAAATTGATATTTTATTAACATAAATGGATGTTCAAATGAAAGAATGCTAAGATGTACAACCAAACAGAAAAATGGGCAGAAGATACGAAGCAAGAATTCACAGAAAAGGAAATACAAATGGCTTGTAAACATGTGCTTAACCTTTACTCACAATAAAAGAAATCCAACTTAAAACCATGAGATAACATTTTTTCATATCAAATCTTTGACAACACAGGTGGGGTGTGGTGGCTCACACTTGTAATCTCAGTACTTTGGGAGGCTGAAGCAGGAGAATTGCTTGAGCCCAGGAGTTCAAAGTTACAGTAAGCTATGATTGTGGCACTGCACTCCAGCCTGGGCCAAAAGAGTGAGACCCTGTCTCTTAGAAAAAAAAAGAAAAAAACAATTCTGGGAGGCTGAGGCGGGTAGATTGCTTGAGCTCACTAGTTCAAGATCAGCCTGAGCAAGAGTAAGAGAGATCCCATCTCCAAAAACTATCAGGGCATTGTGCTGGGCACCTGTAGTCCTGGCTACTCAGGAGGCTGAGGCAAGAGGATCGTTTGAGCCGAAGAGTTTAAGGTTGCTGTGAGCTGTGATGCCAAGTTACTCTACCCAGAGTGAAAAAGTGAGACTCTGTCTCAAAAAAACAAAACAAAACAGGCTTGGCGGTTGTAGCTCAGCAGCTAGGGTGCCAGCCACATACACTAAAGCTGGCAGGTTTGAATCCAGCCCAGGCCTGCCTAACAACGACAACTGCAACCAAAAAATAGTCAGGCATTGTGGCAGGTGCCTATAGTCCCAGCTACTTGGGAGGCTGAGGCAAGAGAATCGCTTCAGCCCAAGACCTTGAGGTTGCTGTGAGCTGTGACGCCATAGCACTCTACCCAGAGTGACATAGTGAGACTCTGCATCAAAAAAAAAAAAAATCTTTGACACTACAGTGTGAGGTACTTCTCATGTTTTCCGGTAAAGGATAAAGTGGTTTAACCACTAAGGAATGCAATTGGGGCAGGGACTGAGAAAGGATACAAGGGAATGTTTGGGGTGTTGGTAATCTGTTTCTTATTATTGAGGGTTTGGATTACAGAACTGCATGCACTTGTTAAAAACTTAGCACATACACACTTAAGATGGCTTTATGGGTGAAAGGACAGACAGATGGAGAGAGATCAGAAAAAGGAACCAGAGTAAAGTATTAATGGTAAAACCTAGGTGGTGGCAAAATGGATGTTTAGTATCAAATTCCTTCAACTTTGCTGTATATTTGGAAATTTTTTACAAGATGTTGGGGGTGCTCCTGTGGTCCCAGCTGCTCAGGAGGCTGAGGCAAGAGGATTACTCAAGCTCAAGAGTTTGAGGCTGCTGTGAGCTTATGATGATGCCATGGCACTCCACCCAGGGGATAGAGTCAGACTGTCTCAAAAAGAAAAAAAAAAAGATGTTGGAGGAAAAAAAAATCACCAAGCCACACATGATTCAACCCAGCAAACTCCTTTATCAATATTTCCTACAGCTATACCAGCAACTTCGTAAAATGACATAATATATAAGCATATTTATGCAGCATTATCTGTGGTAGCAAAAAATGAGAAATACCCTAAATGTCAACTAATAATGGACTAGATGAGGCCAGGCACAATGGCTCACACCTATAACCCTAGCACTCTGGAGGCTCAGACAGGATTCCTTGGGCTTGGGGGTTTAAGACTAGCCTGAGCTAGAACAAGATCCCATCTCTACTAAAAAATAGAAAAAATTAGCCAGGTGTCAGGACAGGTCCCTATAGGGAGGCTGAAGAAGGAGGATTACTTGAAGCCAGTAGTCTGAGGTTGCTGTGAGCTAGACTGAGGCCATAGCACTCTAGCCAGGGCAACACAGTGAGACCTTGTCTCAAATGCATAAGTAAATTAATGGACTGTATGAATAAATTTTTGTACATCTATCCACTTCAGTACTATAGCATCTATTACAGAGTAAAGGCAGTAGGCTGGGCGTGATGACTCACACATGTAATCCTAACACTCCAGGAGGCCAAGGCAGGTAGACTGCCTGGGCTCATAGGTTGGAGACCAGCCTGAGCAAAAGTCAGACCTCATCTTTCTAAACATAGCCGGGTGTTGTGGTGAGTGCCTATAGTCCTATCTCAGCTACTTAGGAGGCTGAGGCAAGAGAATCATGTAAGCCCAAGAGTTTGGGGTTGCTGTGAGTTGCAACGCTACAAGACTCTACCAAGGGTGACAAAGTGAGACTCTGTCTCAAAAAAAAGAGCAAGGCAATAGTGTAATCACAGATCTGTAAGGATAGGTTGATAAGGGAAAAAACAAAACATCCTATATTATGGTACTATATGCTATGATTTATAAGGGATGTAGTAGACGAGTTGCATAAATTCAT